CTGCAGACACACCTGCAGACACACCTACAGACACACCTGCAGACACAACTGCAGACACACCTACAGACACATAAGCAACTCTCTAACACACATTAGTTTAACATTAGTTACAAATAAACATCCATAACCTTTACCTAAACTCCTGTGACAGTTAGTAATGTTGCCTCACAGCAAGAATGTCCAGGGTTCAAGCACTGGTCTGGACCTGGGGTCATTCTGTGTGAAGTTTGCATGTTCTCCTTGTGTTTTCTCTGGGTACTCTGGTTTCAGCTGAGTTCAGCCCCAGGCCTCTCTTGGAAAGGAGGTCTGTGATCTCAATGGAATTTCTCTGGTTAAATAAAGGCTAATAAATGAATAATGTTGTGATATAGGGGGTGTAATATTGATTAATTATGAGTTATGCTCATAATGCTATAAATGAGGGCACCACCTCATCAGAGGAAAAACAATAATTTTATAAATTATCTACTAATAAGTCTCTTGAACCCCAAAAATGTGAATTGTTCACCTGTTTCAAAGTAACATTTCTGTTAAACACACACAGAAAGGATAAAATAATCACCTATTCTTTTAAGATTTTGTGTATTTTATTACAAAAATACAATGATCTGTGATATATAAATGATTATATATGCAAACTGAAACTGCTAAAATACAACATTAAAAGGTATAAAATGGATCTGTGAGATTATACCAGATATCAAATGACTGAAACTTTAAAAGGCAGATGTTAAAAATGTAAATATTTCTAAAGCTAAACTACATTTTTGTCAGATAATTATTGTGATGTCAGGTCACCAGCATGCAGATGAAACCATGAGTTTTACTGCGTTTTTTTTAACAGCTTCCAGGTGGATACCAGACAGATGTTGCAGGTGCCTTTGAGCCAACTCGGAAGTTGAGACCTCCCAGGTTGCCTTGGCTATGACGGCATTCGCTTTCTTTCTGGATCTGGTTCCATGGTTATCTGTTTGGATAAGTTACGCACAGGCGTGCTGGGAAGATGACTTATATCTCAGTTCTGGTTCTGGTTGTGCAGGTTCTGGAGCTCTTGCATCACCGAACAGAAAATAAAAAAATGCAAATTTTTATTGCCAAAAATGCTTTTATTGAAGAGCACAAAAGTTTAACAATGCATCGTTCAATTTCTAGAGAAAAAGTTAATATTTAACTTGAAGTTTGTGAGAAAGTTACACATTTCAAGAGGAAATAAATACATTTACACAAAAAGATTCCTATTAGGCCAGTTTGAGAGTCTCTTTAACCATGACACCAATTCCATCGAACACTTTGTGAATGGGAGCGTTGCACATGAAGGCGCAGGTGGTCACCAGCTTATTTTTGACATCAACGTGAGCTTCCTCCACGTCTTTGTTCACATGTTTGCAGCCCATCTTCTTCACAGCGCCGGCTGTCTGAGCGTACGGCCACCTGAGGAGGAAAAGAAGAGAAACCGTGACTGAAACGGTTTCATGTTTATTACTGTTTCTTGTCTCTTGAACTGAAAGTAGTTCACCCACTTGTCACTCTCTTTGTCCTGCCCCACAGTGAGCTCACAGCCAGGCAGCATCTTTGCAGCCAGCACTGGGGAGATGCAGCACATGCCCAGAGGTTTTCCAGCTTTGTGGAATGCCTTGATGGTCTTCTCTAGATGTGGCAGGACGGTGCAGTCCGTGCTCTTCACAGCCCAGTCACTAAGGTTCTTAGCCACGCCAAACCCACCTGATTGAGCACAAAACAACGAGGTTAAACCGCTTCATTAGACAGAGAGGAGTCAAAGTGTTGATCTGAAGCAGCCTCACCTGGTAAGATGGCAGCATCGAAGGCTGAGACGTCTAACTTGGCCAGATCTGTCACGTCACCTCTGGCGATTCGGGCACTTTCCTGCAGGATGTTCCTCTTCTCCTCAGTGGGTTTCCCCTCACAGTGGTTCACAACATGCATCTGATCTGCATCTGGAGCAAACATCTGCACCTGATACCAAACACAAGCATGCTCGGTTTAACATCAGACACATGACTGTAGCAGATGTGACAGAATCCAGACTCTTGTTCAGTTAAATACACCTGAACAAGTTTAACTCTTACTTTTGCTCCAGCTCGACTCAGATGGACGAGGATGGCTGAAGCCTCGTGGATCTCTGTGCCATCGTAGACTCCACAGCCTGCCAGAATAACTGCAACACGCTTGGCCATGATTACTGAAACGCACACACACAGAAAAAAAATGTTCATTTAAATATATCAAACCCCCCATGAACCTTTTTTGTTTGTTTGTTTGATAATGAGGTAAGTTCCTCATGTTTCTCTGTAAGCTCTCACTCTAGACAACAGGAGTATCCTCTGAGAACAGCTCAGTTGCCACCTGCTGTTTGTTTATATAAAAAATTTACAGAGCTAGGTGAGAAATTCACAGATCCCAGGGGACCTGCTGCTGCTGCCAGGTAACACTGCTGACACCAGTGGAGACAACTTACAAACAGACAATACGGTGTGCTGTCTGTGCAAGACTCAGCTATAAACACATAAAAACATCAAATTAAGTTGTATAAAATGTGTCGTCATTTTCTTGAGGGATTTACCTTTAGTGCAATTTTGCTCTATTGTTTTACAAAAAACAAATATGATCCAAAATGTATTTATTTGTTCTTAAAACGTGAAAAACAATCCCTCAGAGTAAACAAAATCCAGTACAAAGCAGATCTTCCTACCTTGAGCAGGTCTAGTTGTTGGTGGTCTGCGGTTGAACACGGTGTGAGCAGGAGCTCTTCAGTGGAGGTTTGAAAGCTGAAGTGGTTGCAGATCATCTTATAGTTCTGCCTCTTCCGTCTCCTCCCACTTCACCATGACATCATGAACTTACCAGAACAGCTTCAATAGTTAATGTTTAATCTGAAATACTGGGTTATTCTCCTTAATGGCTCTGTTAAAATAACAATAAAACTTACTCTGTGATATCAAGATGTTTAACACTAAAAGACAGCAGGAGGCAGGATAACAAAAAAATTCTAATTTGGTATTTTATTTTAATAATAACAATAATAATAATAATAATAATAATAATACATTTTATTTGTGTAAAGCTTTTCTACATGCTCAAAGGCATTTTACATGAGTTAAATATATAATATTAACAATGCATAACACATAAAAACGCAGTAAAACATTTAAAAAGAGAAAATTTAAACATTAAATGCAAGAAAACTGCAAACAAATGTTATCACAGTTTCATTTTCACCGAAGAACAGTTTATTTATTTCAACTTAGAGAAATATTGTTGCTCATTTTGCATACATTTTCTTTAACACATAAACATGAAATTAATTCTCATTTCCTTATTATATCCTTATATTCCTTCTTATTCCTATTTCCTGGTATTATTCCCTTCAAGCTTTTTTTTCCTTATTCTTCCTGTCAAGTCATATAATAATGTGACACATCCCAGATGGTTATTAAGGAAATGAAGTCAACCTGAAACTTGGGAGGAACTCTTTAGTCCACCCCCAGCTATAAATTCCCAGCAAAGCGGGGCAGCTGTGTTTCTCAAATGTCTCCTGTGTTTGACTCACGGCTCTATAAAAGTCCGTCTCAGGTCAGAAAAACACTGCTGCCATGGCTCACTCCAACTCACTTCACCTTTCTGTCGGCATCCTGGGCATCTTTGGTGGTAGGTTTTCCTTTCATTCTTTTTATATAAATTTCATACATTACTTTTTCCATTGTTGGGTCTCACTTTGAAAAACCCAGTAAATAGGAAAGAGTAACACTAACAAAAGATTACATGAATGAATTGGGCTTCAGTACGGAAAACAATAAAATGTTCATTGAACATCTAATGAGTAAAATATTTAGCTATTACCTTTGTTAAATAAAACAAATACTTTCAGAGACTGATCAAAATCATGAACAAATATAGTGAACACAATTTACTGTATACATTTATAAACTGACATGATTTAACAGGTTTTTGAATTCTGAAATCATTAACTTGTCTCCACCTCTCTGGATCAGTTAATATGAGCAACAAGACATGTATCATATTTGCAGAATATTTTTATTCTCAGGCCAGAGGAACTGAAAGCAACAGACTGCACTCAATAAAAAGGTGACATTTATTTACAGTGATGACTCAGCAAGAAACAGATCTGCAGAGGATGGAGACAGGCGAGTATGGAGTCCAGAAGGTAATGTTAATACGGAAGGAGAGGATGAAGCATTCCCAGTAAGTATGGAGGCTGAGAAGGTGGTGATGCAGCAGGTAGGTTTACTGGTAACAATTGGTTAGGTAGCAGACTAGCAGGAGGCTGATGGGAAGTTGGCACCAAGAGTTCCAGGGTATAGACGAGTGATGGCGAGATGAAGGTTCATGAAGCACTGAGGCTTTCCATATACTAGCTCGATTTATCAGCCATTGCACCATGGCACTTCATTTGCTGTACTGCGCCATCAAGTGGACTATAAATGTAAAACAGGAAGATAGATTATACAAGCATAGCTGGTTTGTGAAGCTTTAAGTTGAATAAAAGAAAAAAATCATGTTTGTTAGGATCTCAAACAAAGTCTAAATTTGATCTGCAAATGATCTTAATCCGTCTTTATGATGATGGTGATGATGGATTTTTTTTGTCTGCCCCTTATATTTCGAGACTCGTGCATACAAACGAGCCAGTTCTTGATTCGGTCAAGTGGTATGGCCCGCTAGCGAGGCCTCGAACGTCACTACATGCGTCATCAAGACACGCCTTGATACATGCTCCACATAAATCCTCTTGGATTAAGCAACAAACGCTTCAAAGCCTCGACACAGAAGGACGCGTCACTAGTATATGCCTTACATGGAAGCATGGAAGAAAACATGAACTCCAAAGCAGGCCTTTCCAGAAACCAGGACTAGGGGCAACTAGAAAAACATAATTAGTATTAATTAATAATATAATTAATCTTTCATCTGACCTTCACATAGGGCTATCCCCAATATCAGTTGATATCCAAATGTTCCAGCATTGAGAAGAACAAATCCTCAGGCCTTTATATCCCAGGAGCTCATCAGTGAGATGGGCCACAGCTGCTGCTTGGTGACACCACCGCGCCACTCAGGAAGTTGCATGGGATGAGAAACCTAGAATCCCCACAAAATTATGCTATAAAACTGGATGTTCTTGTTAAAAATGGATTAAAGGATTAAACTATATTGAACCTCTGTTTTGATTATTACTCCACTGTTCTCTGTTTTGTTTTAAGGCTCCCTCCTGCTTTTGGTGAACAGCTATGCCAGCTCTCCTCAAAATGACTTCATCCCCCACACTGCACTGGGGATTTTGCTTCTCATTATCTCAGCCCTCATAGCTTATGCAGGTTTGACTTAAAAGTATACAAATATTCACTCACATATATTATTTTTGCTGCCTGTTTCCAGCCTCCTAACTCTTCCTTTTTCTCTGTCCTAGGTGTCTATCACAGTCTGTCCCATGCCCAGCTGTTTTCCACTCTGTGTCTGACTATCTCTGCTCTGTGGTGTGGTTCAGGTCTGGTCTACATTCTGGTTGGACAGGGAGTGTTGCAGCTCACAGATCTGAAGTCTTCATTGGTCCCAGGCCTGGCAGCATTTACCTTAGCCCTGTTCGTCATCGGTAGTGTAGCGCTCTTTGTAAAGAAACCAGTCCTGGTCCTCATAGGGATGGGCATTTCTTTGGCCTGCGCCCATCAAATAGCTGCTCTGTGTGCTGTGGGGTTTGGCCAGTCTGCCACTGCTACTAACTACCTTCTCGTCTGTTTAGTGTGTCTTTATTTTGGCTTTGGACGTCTTCTGCCCATGATCACTCATGGTAAAGTGAGACCACCAGGCACAGGTTTGAAGCAGAAAGCTGAGCTGAAAATGGAGCAGAACCAGGCGTGTGCTGGTGCAGCAAGTGTAGGTTTAGTGATGAACTTGTTATCTGCCTCTGTATTAGCCTGTCCCCTGTTGGGTGTGGTACCCACACTCTTTGTTGGTCATGTTCCCTGGCTGTGGACAGCTGGAGTCTTCCAGCTTGTCATGTGTGTCCTCTTTTATCGAGCCATGGACACACTAGCTGCCACTTTCTATGGTTTTACTGCCCTGCTGAAATTTGCAGAAGGCTACAGTGCTTTGTTGTCTCTGTACTCCATTCAGCCTTTCTCTCCCGTTCCCTTCCCTGTTGTCTTTGCAGTGCTCTTCTCTGTTCTGTCACTGTTCAGTTGTCAAAAGAGCCTGCTGGAGGGGATATACCAATTATTCTTTGTAGCATATTGTATTTCCATTGCAGCACAACCTAAAGGCTTCTTCCAAGGAGGCACTCAGGGAGTTCAGGGAGCTATATTTGTAGCTACAGCATTACTGCTTTTTATTACTACATTCAACATGGTCTCAAGCACCTTAATTCCCACAGGGCGAAGTATTTTCAGAACTTTATTGACTAGGATGCAGAAGGTTACACTCAGATCTCTCGATAAAGAGCAGCATGTACCTCACCTGGGCTACTCCAAATATGCTGATGCAGAGGTGTTGGGTCACGCCTGCAATGTTCTGGCAGCCTTTGCCATCACATCCACTGTTGGTGACAGAAACCCTCTGACTCTGCTGGTTCTGCCCTGGGCAGTGATGGCTGGTGGGGTGCTGCAGCTCCTGTGTGGCTCAGTAGCGTTTGCTCGAGGTAAAACCTTTGAGAGCACTGTTTTTATGCTCTATGGTATGATGTGGACAGTGTGGGGTTTGACGCGGTACGGTGGTCTGTACGGTGAAACTAGAGGCTTCAATGTGGCTGTTGGGATCATTAGCTTCATGTTGTTTAACCTACTGGTGACAGTTGCAGCATTGTTTGTAAATGTTGCCTGGTTTGTCTACGCGTTTACCTTCCAGCTCATTCTCATCAGCTTCCTGTTGGATGCAGTAGGTTCACTGCCGTACGGTTACGACATCGGTGTCACAATCATCTTTGGTCTCATTAGCTTTTATTGTTTCCTGGCTCACCTTTTCAACAGCACCTTTAAGTCCCCACAAATCCCCTTAGGTAGCCCTCTTGTCAACGTGGGTGGTGTTGGAGGAGGGACAGATGTGTGTCCACATGTCCCAGCACGCAAAGCAATATCGGTCAAACAGATTGCAGGTGAGGGAATAATGAATATGGCACTGATTTCTAATGAAACACCTGTTTACATGCAGGACCTGAACTCACTTTTTCTTGTGTGCAGAGATCATGAAAAACGGTGGCATTTGTGGAATGCCAACAGACACCGTCTATGTTCTGGTAGCAGCCTGCAACAGACCAGATGCTGTCGTCAAAGCTTACAAGTAAGTTTTCATTGTTATGAAAGTAATTACAATTTATAAATAGTATGATTTCCTCTTATTTATTGTTGTTGTTTGGCTTTCGGGTTAAAAAGCAGGCTCAGGACCGACCCATGTCCTTGTGGATCTCGTCTGTCAAGCAGCTGGAACCTGTGAGGCACCTGCTGAGCCCTCTGCTGCTGGACTTCATGGAAGCTGCGTGGCCATCATCCATCAGCATGGTCATACCCAGAGGTGGGAGATTCTTTATTTACTTTTAAAACACTTTGTGTATGTGTGTGTATTCAATTCAATTCAATTAGGTTTATTTATATAGCGCCATATCACAACAAAGTTGTCTCAGGGCACTTTACAGGGACATACACATACATAGAAAAGCCAATTAGTAAAGAAGTTCTCTATCTAAGGAAGACATCAGACTTGAATCTTTACTTTATCACAGTTTCCCATTCTGAGCAAGCGCAATGGCAACAGTGGAAAGAAAAAACTCCCTTTTAAAAAGAAGAAACCTCCAGGCAGAAGCAAGCTCAGGACAAGCAGCCATCTGTTTTGACCGGCTGGTTTGAGAGGACAGGAAGGAGAGACAGATGAACACAGAATGGTACGCCCAGATACAGGTGCAGGTGTACCTGAAAGACAAAAAACACAAGTTAAGATAGAAAAAATAATTACAAACACAAAACAGGTTGAGCAGAGTAAGTAAAGAAAGTAGTATAGTGAAAAGATGTGGTCAGTTTGTCCTCCAGCAGTCTACGCCTATAGCAGCATAACTAAGGGACAGCTCAGGAAACTCAAGCCAACCCTAGGATTTAGCAAAAAGGAATGTCTTAAAACTGGATAACGTGTCAGCCTCGCAAATAGAAACTAGAAGCTGGTTCCACAAGAGAGGAGCCTGATAACTGAAGGTCCTGCTTCCCATTCTGGTTTTGGAAACTCTAGGAACTGCAAGTAAACCTGCAGTCTGAGAGCGAAGTGACCTGTTGGGAAAATATGAAAAAATAAGATCTGTAATATAAGATGGAGCTAGGTTGCCGAGAGCTTTGTAGGCTAGAAGTAAGATTTTGAAATCAATTCTGGATTTGACAGGGAACCAGTGGAGAGAAACTAAAACTGAAGAGATATTATCTCTCCTACTAACTCCAGTTAAGACTCTGGATTAACTGACGATGTTTTAAAGAAGTATTTTAGAGCTGTTCCTGTAATCCCAATATCATATTCAAGTCTCTGTAATAGAATATTATGATCAACTGTATCAAATGCAGCACTGAGGTCTAACGGGACCAGTATAGACACAAGTCTATTGTCTGAGGCCATGAGAATATCATTAGTGACTTTTACTATTGCTGTTTCTGTGCTATGATGAACTCTAAACCCTGACTGAAACTCTTCAAACAGATTATTTCTTTGTAGATGTTCATGCAACTGACTTGCAACTATTTTTCTCTAGAAATTTTTAGATGAAAGTTAGATTAGTTATAGGTCTATAATTGGCTAGGATTTCTGAATCAAGGTCAGACTTCTTAAGTAAAGGTTCAATCACAGCAGCCTTAAAGCGCTGTGGTACATAACCATCCATTAAAAACAAATTAAGCAAATCTAAAATGTGGACATTAATTAGGGGAAACATCTCTTTCAACAGTCTAGTTGGGATGAGATCTAGCAAACATGTGGATGGTTTGGATGAAGATATTATTTTTAACAATTCCGAAAGCTCAACAGGACAAAAACAGTCCAAACATAAATCAGGCTACAGCAACGTCTCCAAAGCCGCACCATCCAACAGGGAACCAGACATAGCAGTAGGAAGGCCGGTCCAAATTTTCTCTCTAATTGAAATAATTTTATTTATAAAGAATCTCATGAAGTCATTACTGTTTATAGTTGTAGGGATATTTTCTTCAACAGAGATGGGACTTTTAATTAGTCTAGCTGTAGTACTGAACATAAACCTAGGGTTATTTTATTCTCATCTATTAAAGATGAATAATATAAAGTTCTAGCTTTACAGAGGACTTTCTTATATGTTAGCATGGGTTACTCGAGCACAGCAGGGTTTTATAAAGAATATGTTGTTTTTGTTGAGTCCTGCAGGTCCCTGGATGGATATTTTTGGTTTAGGAGATGCTGCCAAACACATAGGAACTCCACAAAGTATTGCCATCAGAAGCCCAGACTGTGCAGTAGCAACACATCTCATAAACCTGGTAAAACACATGAACATTGATTAATGAACAATATTCATTAAATTGTGTAAAATGAAGTCATTAGAATTTTTGATGAGGAATTGTTTGTGCTTCTCAGGTCGGACCCATTGCTGTCACTTCAGCCAACCCAACAGGAGAGGCAGACACAACCCACCATAACCAAGTTTA